TTATAATTGTTATCATATCATTATTATCATTTGTATTATCAGCATAATCTACAATGGCAGTAGTGTATTATAGTACATGTAGAATTAGGCCTTATAGTAGAGGTATCATTCTGATCATTATTATTCTGATTATCTTTTACAATACGCCTAGACGATAAACTCATGACAATTGACAATTGTCATGAATCATTGTCTTTAAGTTTACCATTTAATGCATCTGGTTTGAATTTTGCTCAGGTATTTGGTACTGGATGATTTAAATGGTAGAAACTTGTGTCCTATTCATTCTAGTCTTATTCATTTGCATTATGTTTTATTCATTTAAGTTCTAATGTTTCTGACTGTTTTCAAGACAATATCTTATGTGTCGATCATAATTCTATGTAGCTTGATATCTCACGGTAATTTTGAGAGAAAAGCAAGGCAAGCAATGATTTCTTAATTGTAGCGACTATCGCGTTCGCCTTTGCTGTTCTTCAATAATATTTGACAAGCAGTATTAATTAATTTTTCAAGGACTCATGATAAATTCGTTTAACAGTTGATTACCCTCGGTTGATTCTTTTGTTCGGATTATTTGGCGGGGGAAATAGAAGTGAATGTATTATTATTCTTATTTGTTCATCGTCTCTACGATGCTCTTTGAATCAAAAACAGCTTTTATTGTTAGGCTTCCTGAAAGAAATTTCAATAGTTGTTAAGAAATTTTTGGTTGCACTCTGTAGATTATGATGATGTGTTTGATCTTTTTTCAATACAAGATCAAACACATGATGAAAATCTACTGGCTGGATGCCAATAAGTTCTTGACAACAATAACAAAATGTGAGCTAGTGCTATTCGGTGTGGCGTACACATGGCGTACACATGGTAGATAAAATTATGATCATCAGTACTGGGTCAAATAAATTAAAGAGAACTGAATTTGAATCCGGGCCATAGGCTACCCCCTCTCGTTCTCTCTCCCTCTCTCTCTCCCTCTTCGTCGCCTTACTTTTCCCTCTCTTACCTCCCTGTGCATTTGTATGCCTCGATAATACAAAAAAGAAACAATAAGATTCTTCCTCTTCCCCTCCTTCTTCCTAGTACATGTAGTAGGAGTAGTACTAGAAGCAGTATCACAATAATAATGACAACAATGATTATTATGGTTGGTGGTGTTACTAATTTTATTTTTGTAATTATCAGGTGGGCTGTATATCGTACAGACCACCTTATAATTTCGTTAGAATTGCCTTTGTTTATTTATTTATTTATTATCAGGTGGGCTATATATCGTACAGACCACCTTATAATTTCGTTAGATTTGCCTTTATTATCAGGTTGGCTGTATCTTATACAGACCAACTTATAATTTTGTTAAAATCGCCTTTATTATTCTTTATTGTTAGGTAGGCTGTATATCGTACAGATTACCTTATAATTTCGTTAGATTTGCCTTTATTATTTATTTATTCATCAGATGGGCTGTATATCGTACAAACCACCTTATAATTTCGTTAGAATTACCTTTATTTATTTATCAGGTGGGCTGTATATCGTACAGACCACCTTATAATTTCGTTAGAATTGCCTTTATTTATTATCAGGTGGGCTGTATCTAATACAGACCACCTTATAATTTTGTTAAAATTGCCTTTATTATTAGGTGGGCTGTATCTAATACAGACCTCCTTATAATTTTGTTAAAATTGCCTTTATTATCAGGTGGGCTGTATAGCGTACAGAACACCTTATAATTTCGTTAGAATTGCCTTTATTATTTATTTTACTTATTTCAAACCATTTTTTTGTAAGCACGATTACTTGAAAATGGCTCAAATTTGGCACACATATATGTATAGGCATATGACGTCATCTAGGCGCCATTTTGTATTTTTTTCTGAAAATCAACTCATGATCAAATCTTCATAACCAAAAGCCATTTTGATTCATATTTATCATGATTAAGGTCAATATTCGTCCGGTCAATATAAGGTCAAAAAAATGCGCGCGTACGCGTACGTCCGCGCGCAAAATTTCAAAATGCAAAAAAAAACCTCAAAATCATTTAGCATACGTTTTAGGCCATTTAAAGCATTTTATAAAATATCTCGCACACGCGCATGCGCGCGCGTTTACGCGCGTTCTGACATTTTGCAAAACAGAATCGCCAAATTTTCTTCGTCATCTTATTTAGCACATTTTTTCAAGCATTTTGATACCTTGTTCACCTTTTTCTGACCATTAAAGGTAATACCAATTTTTGGGAAATTTTGAAAATTGGGTGGATAGTGATTCTTTACAATTTTGTTATATTTGGATGCCCCTGTGGATGTATTATAAGCACTAAAAAAATTAGCCCCTAAAACTCTTCTGTTTTCGAGAAAAATTGAATATAAACATTTACCGATGCTCCCGGTAAATTTTGATAAATTTCAAATAGCGCCTATGGCCGTACAATGGTAGCTGCGACCATGAAAATTTCAGAGTATGTAGTTGTGATATATAATTTCCAAACGGGAATAGCTAATCGATCGATTTCAGTCAATAAACATTGTTTCATAGCTAAATTAATATCTTGACCTTGAGAGGGAGCTCTACAACATTAAGAGTTTATTATTTATAATTTCATAACTTTAGACTCGATTTCAACCGCGACAACGATCAATGAATATTGTAGGAACACATATGCTTCCGAAATTGTTAATTTGAACCAAATTCATGACCCCATACCACAACTTTGTAATACCTTTAATAACGGAGTGAGGGTCCGTTTAAGATACATGTCCGTGCGTGCGAGCTCTTGTAATACATAGCATATAAGGGAAAAAAATCATGCCCTTACAAAATCCATTGTAGCTCTTTAGAATGTAAGGTGACCCCTATTTTTTCATATGTTGATAGAGTATGAATCGGAGATAAGATTTCATGTCTCATTTGACCCTCAATTAACTCACGACGTCATCATAATAGCCTCCGAACTCATAATTTCAATTTGCATATTATGACGTCAGCATTTTTTTTGAAAATTGATTGTATCTCTGTAAATATTGATCAATTTTGTCTTCAATTTTTGATATGTTCTAGCTGGGACAATCTTCTTCGAATGCTGTCTTCACAATTTTTCATTTTGACAAAAGCATCATGGCGTATTTTTGCGATTAAAGGAGGAATATCAATTTTTCACCTTTTGCGTGTATTCTCTATATATGGGACATGACTTTTTTCAAAACTGGATTCTACATTCCCGTCTTTCGCGAGCAATATCTCCGTCGTTTTAGCTCGGTTTACGCTGAACTTCGAGTATGTTGTAGCTGAGACAATAAGCCAGTGGCGTACGCAGGATTTTTTCAAGGGGGGGGGGGGGGGTTTAAAATCGGGTCCAAAATTTCGCAACGACTCAGGAAAATTTGAAAATCGCGCGCCGGCCAAAAAGTCGCTCAGTGGGGGGGGGGGGGGGGGGGGGGGGGGGGGGGGGGGGGGGTAAGCGGACACTTTTTTTTTTTTTAGGGAGTCCAAAAAAAAATCGCAACGACTCAGCCAGCCGGAAAGTCGCTCGGTGGGGGGGGGGGGGGTAAGAGGACACTTTTTTTTAAATTGTTTTGGTCCCAAAAAAATCGCAACGACTCAACCGACCGCTGAATAAGCGGGGGGGGGGGGGGGGGGGGGGGGGGGGGGGGGGGGGGGAGTTAAGAGGACACTTTTTTTTTTTTTTGGGTCTCAAAATTTTACTTCGCTGGGGGGGGGGGGTAAGGTCACCTTTCTTAGGTCAGCCATGGGGGCCTTTTTTTTTTTTTTTAATAATTAAAAAAAAAAAAAAAAAAAAAAAAAAACCAAAGGGGGGGGGGGTTTAGATTTTTTTTAGGGGGGTTTACACACATTAAAATACCAAAGGGGGGGGGGGGGAACCCCCCCCAAACACCCCCCCCCCCCTGCGTACGCGCCTGCAATAAGCTATCTTAAATGTGCCCTTTATTTTGTCTCAAATTTTAGTTAGACCAGCCCACGGCCCCACCTTTTCTTGTTCAAAACAAGTATTACAAATCTAGTTATTATCATTATCATCAACATTGTCACCGGAGCAAGTGTCGCTTCAGGCGGAGCAAATGTCGGCGGAGCAACTGTTGGCGGAGCAATTGTCGGCGGAGCAAATGTCACCGGAGCAATTATCGCTTTTTGCGGAGCAATTGTCGGCGGAGCAATTGTCGGCGGAGCAAATGTCGGCGGAGCAACTGTCGTTCGAGGAGAATTTGTCACCGGAGCAATCGTCGCGTTTTGCGGAGCAATTGTCGGCGGAGCAATTGTCGGCGGAGCAAATGTCGGCGGAGCAATTGTCGGCGGAGTAATTGTCGGCGGAGCAAATGTCGGCGGAGCAAATGTCGGCGGAGCATATGTCGGCGGAGCAAATGTCGGCGGAGCAATTGTCGGCGGAGCAAATGTCGAGGAGCAAATGTCGCGGAGCAATTTTCGCGTTTTGCGGAGTAAATGTCGGCGGAGCAATCGTCGGCGGAGCATGTGTCGGGTTACCAAAATATCACCTAATCAGTTGGTATCAATTTTTATTTACAATTTTGATGACATCTTCTCTCGACTTGAAGATTATTTGACCCTTGTCGTTGTCGGTATAACTTCGATATAGTTTTAAAATTTCGAAACGGACGCAAAAGGCAGCAAATTTGCCGATCTTTTCTAAATATTCTCACAATTTCAAACCCGATTCCAAAGAAAATGTTGTCTCTGGGTAATTTTAGGGTCCTCTTTCATATCAATTTTTCGAAATCTTACTGATTTTGCTCAGATTGGAACTGTACACGAATTGAGGTCATGCGCATACCGGTGCGCATACACCACCATATAATGACCACTGTCCCTGCAAGTGCAGGAATCTCTATTAGAAATAGACAAATCACATTTGAAATAAAAAAATATCGCACATGATTGTATAGAGCTACTATTATAGTACTATGGCGTTTTTCAGGCTCAGAGCGCTATTAACTCCGGTTAATTACAATGCATACCTTGCTGTTTTCAGACGACCTAGCAGTGTCATCTTTGAACTTGTTTTCAGACATTTCAGCACCTGGATCTGCTCCTGAAAGTGGCTTTGTATTCTCCATCTCGATCTAACGAACTTTTATTCGAATCGCCAAACGAGTCAAATATCAACAATCACAGAAGCATCGATAGAAGACAAATATGAATTGCCGTTTGGTTACTATACAACCATCGAAAATATGGATGTATTGTGCCGTTTTAACCAATCAGAACGCATATACAAACATAAAAAAATATGCAACTATGCAACTATTCAACTAAATCCATCGAAGCACTCATGAATAGTTTACAGCGTGCGAGCCGAACTATATCTGCACACAATTCGATGGATGTTGTTGATACAAAATAATTACCTGTACCGAGAAGTCCAAGTGTGCGTTTGTGCATTCATAGTGTGATGTGCGTTCCCGCTCTTATAAGGAATCCAAGACCACATAGCATACAGGAGGGGTTACGGGCGGACTGGTCGGTGCTTGTGTATCTAATTTGTATCCCTCCCATGCACCTCCCTGTTTCGACCAAGGGTGCCGTTGGGAGGTAATTTTGTCACGTCCGCGAGGGGGGGGGGGGGGGGAGGGGTGGCGAGAAATTAAGGGTGGGTGGGAGGGGGGAGTGGATATGCCCCCACGGCCCCACCAACCGAACAACAAGATTTGCACTTTGCAGTCAAATAAGTTTGAATTCAGTGACTTCCGCGGTAAATTATGTTTATTGTTTTGAGGTCGACTAAGCGAAAATATTTAATCATGGGTTTGAAGCTTCGCTTTTTAGAGCGCTTTCGATTCCACAGGCAAATCCAAGTCTGATCGTAATATCCAAATTTTTTCTCATAGATGATTATAATCATTTAAACCGATAGTCTATTTTTTCTCAATTCGGGGGGGGGGTGTCTCTCTTGAAAACTTCCAGGAAACGCCTCCCCCCCCCCCCCGTTGACCCTGTAAAAGGTCCAATAAGAAATGTATACTTAGTATGTGCACTTTTGTATATTAGTTCTCGTAAAACAGAGGCGAAATTCTGCCTATATAATGATACTTAGGTGCAGATAGATATAATAATAATAAAAGACATTTATAATGCGCAACATAATCCACCCATGCAGACCGGGTGCTCAAGGTGCTTACAATGAGCTACATACAATACTTAGATACAATTATGCTTACATTATGGGCATTATACATAGTGAAAAAGGTTTTATTAGTTAAAGTTGGCCATAAGATAAGTTTTCAGACTGGCCTTAAAATGATCTACTGATTTACAGTCCTTTGGTGTGTTTAGGAGACTGTTTGGGAGACTGTTTTAGAGCAGAGTAGAACGGAGACCAGAACTAGTGGCGTAATGAGCAAAAACCCTTCTTTTTTTGGGGGGGGGGGGTGGGGGTCAGAACAAAATCTGCATCACCACCATGTAGCATAATGCAGGGTCGGCGGTGCGTCTTCCAAAATAGGGGAGGGGGTACCAGAAAAAAGGGGGCACCTACAAAGTGAAATATACATCGTCGTGATTGTGATTATTTCATGTAAATCCTATCACTTATGTGTAATTAATATATACAGACCGCCTTACTCTGCATTACATCCTGTATCTGTATCATGTTTTCTATCAGAATTCAATGATTATATTCAAAGTCATTTATTGTCCAATGTTCCTTTACTAATAGTTCTAGTGGAGACTCACAGTCTTTCGTAAATCTTCTCGAGTCTCTGTGTTGTACACAGTTAGTTGATTTTTGTACCCACACACACGGCCACACTCTTGATCTGTTAATAAGACGGCAATCTGATGATAACATTGTCATTGGAAAACCGCAGGCACATTCATCTTTAATCTCTGATCACATCCCTGTAATGTGTTACCTTAATTCAAGTAAACCTCGCCTTCCTGTTAAAGAGGTTTCATTTCGCAGACTATCTGCAATCAATACTGAGTTACTTAGAAAAGACTTAACTGAAAGTCGTCTTTGTGATGGAACACCTAGTGATGTCACTGAATTGGCGATGTTATATGACACAACTCTCAATGAAATCTTAGACAAGCATGCGCCAAAGGCATTGAGAACTTTTGTTTTGCGACCTAAGGCGCCATGGTTGACCGATAGTATATTAGAAGAAAAGAGCAAAAAGAGGAAAGCTGAAAAAATTTGGATGAAATCAAAAACAGACAAAGACTGGAAAGCATTTAAGTCAATTCGTAACTCTTACTCCTTCTCATTGTATGAGGCACGGAAGAGTTACCATAAAAGATTTAGTGTCTGAACATAAAGAAAACACAAAAGCGTTATTCAATATTGTAAAGGGTTTGCTAAACATGTCAAATAAACAACCCATTGTACCTTGTAACGTTGATTCGAAATCATTTGTCGACAACTTGGGCAAGTTTCTCTTGGATAAAGTTCAGAAAATTCTTAACGACATAGATTTAAAACTTGGCAATGCACACGTAGACAAACTGATCAATATGATGATGTTCCAGTCGATTCGCAGATAGTGACGCTGACAAGTTTTAAATCACTGTCCGAACAAGACGTCAGCAAATTGATAATGAAGCTCAGTAAGAAGTCCTGTCCATTGGACCCAATGCCCACAAAATTATTGCTGCAATGTCTCAATGAATTGATACCTGTTATTACTTCTATGTTGAACTTGTCTCTATCAGCAGGGCAATTCCCTGCATTGTGGAAGGTCGCTCTAGTGAAACCACTATTGAAAAAGCCGGGCCTCGAAACAGAATTGAGTAATTTAAGGCCCATTAGTAATCTTCAGTATATTTCTAAGTTGGTAGAAGGTGCTGCTACCCAACAGATTCTTGAGCACATTGAACATCATTCACTGTTGCCGTTCAATCAATCAGCATACCGAAAATTTCACAGTACTGAAACAGCACTTCTTAGGATAAAAAGTGATCTTCTTATGTCAATGGACAACCAGAAGATATAAGTCTACTGCTTCTCCTTGATATGAGCAGTGCTTTCGACACAATAGATCACTCATGTCTACTGAAAACTCTAAGAAGCCATTTTAGGGTTGATGGCAAGGTTATCGAATGGATTGAATCTTACTTGTCAGATAGAAAACAGAAAATTGAAATTGATAACGTTGTCTCTGATCATATGGAAACGTTTGCTTGTATGTGTCTCATAAAAGAAGTTGACCACAAAATGACTCCCACACGGTGTTGAGTGCTCAGGGGTCACAGGCCACTGGCTTCATTGGGCAGGTAGTTCCATTATGTGAATGGGTAAATTAACTATTACAAAATGAGGGGACACATTACATTGTACAATAGGGACACACGTTGCAGAACATACTCTTTTATTGACTTACTCACTACATGAAACTATAAAACTAAAATGCATTTCGTATTCTAACAATTGGAGTACAAATAATAATAACAGGTGAATGAAATGCATAAACACCACAAACACCTGGGGAGGAAGCATTCATAAATTTGAATACATATAGTTGATAAACGACTCCGATGAAACTATAAAACTAAAATGCATTTCGTATTCTAACAATTGGAGTACAAATAATAATAACAGGTGAATGAAATGCATAAACACCACAAACACCTGGGGAGGAAGCATTCATAAATTTGAATACATATAGTTGATAAACGACTCCGATGAAACTATAAAACTAAAATAAAATTTGCGTTCTGGCAATTGGAGTAAGAATGATAGCAGGTGAATGAAATGCTTCAACAACACAAACACCTTGGAAGCTAGGAAGCATCCATAAATTTGAATAATTTAGTTGATAAACGACTCCGCATGTGGACGTTTGGTGGAGCAGAAAGCATTGGATTATTAACAAAACGAACCCATTTAACAGAATGTCGGAACGTAAATTAAATTTGGCGCGGTTGGAAAATGCATCTTTCTGCCCTGCGACTTTAATGGTACGATCCAGTAAATTAAAACAGTAAAATGGATCTTATTTTAAAATTACTCATTAAATAAAACCCAAAACTTCAGTGATATCAGAAAAAATATGTTATATCTTACTAATAATTAAAAAAGATGTATAAACATTGTGAAAGTGTCGCATTTTACGATAAAAAGACACCGATTTAGCGAAGATGACGTCATTAGTGCGCTTGCATCAGGGAATTCAAGGTCAAAAGGTCAATTCAGACGCTGATAAGTTAATGGTCGAGCCTTTTTGTTTCCTTTATTCCGACACAATTATACAATCAATCAAAACAAGTTTAATACCAGGAGAAAGCTAACGATTAGTATTTTCATTAACCGCTTGCCCCAAAGTCGTTTGCCCAAGACGAAAATCCAATTGAATCCCCATTGAATGTCCCCATTGAATCCAATTTGGAGTAAATGGAAAGTGAAACAATGGGTACCCATTGAAACCAATGGGGACCAATTGCCAATTGGTTCCAATGGGGACCAATTGCCAATTGGTTTCAATGGGTACCCATTGTTTCTAGACAATTGCCAATTGGTTCCAATGGGGACCAATTGCCAATTGGTTTCAATGGGTACCCATTGTTTCACTTTCCATTTACTCCAAATTGGGGACCAATTGCCAATTGGTTCCAATGGGGACCAATCGCCAATTGGTTTCAATGGGTACCCATTGTTTCACTTTCCATTTACTCCAAATTGCCAATTGGTATTGAATTGGGATTCAATGGGGGCATTCAATGGGGATTCAATTGGTTAGAAGAACCAGTTAGAAGAACCAGTGATAAATTATTGATACTTCATAATCGATATTGGCAACTGTCCACCAATTAGGTAAATTCCAATCTCATTTGCATTAACTTCATCACAAAGATCATTTGAAGTGAATTCAAGAGTTTCATTTACAGTGACATTGGCTCGTACAAATATATATACTAAATATGTATATTGTTTTTGGTTAGTAATCATATAATCAATATACAAATCAATATATCTATTGCTAAAACGTGAATGTAATTGTAACATGATCAGACAAAATAATCTATTGGTTAATAATTGCTGAAGGAATAAAGAAATCACAAAATTGATGTGCATTGTCATAATTTGCTTAACAAATCATGATAAATTT